TGCAGGTGTATATATATATATACATATACATATATGTATGTATGTATGTATGTATGTATGTATGTATGTATGTTGGTTGTAAATGTATGTAGTTGTATGTGTGTTGTGTATGTATGCATTGCGGATGCGATGGGCAATTGTACTCCGAGTACTCGCACATGCGCGCGAGTATGCGCGAATATGCTCGAGTACGCTCGATTATGCTCGAGTATGCCGAGTACGCTCAAGTACGCTCGAGTGTGCTCGAGTATGTTCGAGTACCCTCGAGCATACTCGAGTATGCTCGAGTACGCTCGGGTATGCTCGAGCATGCTCGAGTACGCTCTAGTAACTCTAGTATGCTCCAATATGTTCGAGTACGCCGGAGTGGCACCACAATGTATAGCAGCTGTCAGAAAACACAGACCATGGTATTCACTACCAAACATAACATACAACCTATTTGGTATGTGATATACGGTTCACTAGTATGTAGCATATACTGTGTAGCATATGAGATACAATGCATAATATGCATTATACAGTATGTAATATTCATTTTCTCATATGTTGTTAATACATGATATATGATGTAAAATCGACAACAGTCTCTCTCTCTCTATATATATATAACTATATAAAAATAGGTATAGATACATGTATATGATACACTATATCACATAATACAAAGTGGATCAGTTCTTATTTATCTTATATGTTTCGCAATATACAACGTAAGATCTGTTGTACAAAGTAGTGAACACATATGGTAAAGCTGCTGACAATACTTCCGTGTTCTGGAAATCGATTGTCACTTCTCGAAGCCGCATGACTGCAAACCTGCAGCTGTCCCTGCAGATCCGACGGATTCATGGCAAAACATTGAAATCTCTCGAGGTTTTGGTCACGTTCTGAGAGGTCCTGAGGATGCGCGAGCACAAACAAACAAGCAAACATACATACATACATACCTACATACATACATACATACATACATACATACATGCATACACACATACATACATACTGGCAGAGCCAGAAACATTGGGACCTCTCAGGGTATTGGTAGTCTGTGACTTGAAAGTGCCGAAACGATCCAGTGATCTGGGGTTGTGGGAAGCCGAAACATTGGGGCCTCGCAGCGATCTGGTACTGTGGGAGAGGGACAGTGCTGAGAGGTCCCAATGTGTTAGGTTTTGCCCAAGGCCACCAAACAATTGACATTATTGAGCCTTTGGGCCTTTGGGACCTTCGCAGCACTAGCCATGCATGCTACCTGTAGAACAGCAAGAAGGTTATGCCCTCCACGCCCGATGTTTAGAGCAGTGCCATTGCCGCGCCAAAGAATCTGTGCACGGGCCACCAACTAATTGCATCCTTGATACATCTGCAGGGCTTGAAGGCTTCACGGTTGTCTCTAAACTGAGAGTTACTTTTGATGGAGGTCGCGTGAGTCTGAGGCTGATCATGCGCAATTTTCCCAAGTCCTGGATGGACAACAAGGGTGGAGACATCGACTCCAAGCTGAGGACACAGTTCCAAACACTCTCTCAAACACTCGGGGGTGCTTTCGGATATTAGCTGCATCAAATCCGCATCCTTTCGCTGTGAGGAAGCTGCTGGGAACCTTTGGCCAACTTTCCAGGCTGCAGGCTCGACCAATTGCCAAAAACAGGGGTCGGGTCGGTCGTGTGACCGATGCGATTTCATCACAGGTGATTGCGTCTCCAGGCGCTGTGACCACGGCGACTGACACTTGCTTGAACTTGAACATTTTTTATGGAAAACCAAAGCGCATGTGAGCCCGCACGTATGCGACTTGACCCAGGCGACATTCGCTGAAACTGCCATGGCAGAGAAGGCTGTCAAGGCCGAGACCCATCCTGCGAAATTGTCCTTGCCACAGTATTGCCGGTGCTTTTGCAGGCACTGCATGGTGTGGACATGCGAACAGTTCAGCGCTCAGCATCCGACTCTCGAGTAAATGCGGGCTGTCCGCACATTGCATGAGGCCAAGCAGAAACGAGAAGCCGGCAACCGACCGCCGGCCGAGGCCGACGGTAACTCAGTCTGGATGTGCGGCAGAACAGACTGTGCCGTCAGGAGGAGAAATTCTGGGCACAGATTGTCGCCAAGGTGATGCTGTCCTGTGCGCAATCGCCTTATTGTGCCGGCAAAGAAATGCTTCCATTTCTTCGTCAGGTTGTTGGCGAGGAGCAGGTGTCCAACGAGCGCACGGCGCAGGACAAGTACTTTCAGGGCAGCGCTAGCTTGATCACTGGATGCATCCAATGGATCCACGAGGCTGCATCTTTAATTTGGGGCTGCATAGCCCCTAAAATTTAAATTCCTTGGCGTGCCGGGGTAGTCCCACAACATGCCCTCGGCGCGAAAGCCAAAGATGGCAACCAAAGCAGCGACAAATCGATGTGCGACAGCGAGTGATTCGGCCTTGCTCAACATAGTTCTGATTGGTTTGCATCTTCAGGGACTGCGGTGCGGCTGAGGGGGGATGTGTGGCGCCAGCACTACTGGTAGATTGACAACACTACAGTAGTTGAGATCGCAGACCACGCAACGCACGCCGGGCTTAGATTGTGTAGATGCAAAGCACCCAGTCTTTCCAAGCACCATGTTTGGGAGGAGACCTACTTGCTTGTGGAAGGCTTCCCCACAAGCTGGAGCGAGGTACCAGTGGGGAATTGCTGCTTTGCGATGCAGCAGTCACTGCATGAAAGGCTCAGCTGCGTGCCACCTTCCTCGCCTTTGGTGGAGTCGAAAGACTCACGTACGTGCCAGACTCAAGGCCAGGCGACTTTAAAGCGTTCTTTTCCATAAGACCCTGGTGCAGACAGCCCTTCAGGTATGGAAGGGTTGCCAGACTGGTCTTGAAGGAGGGATCCGGCAAGAGAACGGGCATTCCTGTAGTAGGCAGCTGAGGGGCTTTACCTGCGAGGAGCCGGAGGAAATGTCACGAGTCGTGAAAGAGCTCCATGGCACCACGGTCGGCGATGGGGATGTCGTAGAGGAGATAGGGGCTAACTCCCAGCAGTTCATGTCTCCGGTCACAGCGTGTTAAAAGCTGTGAACAGCATGTCGGGGTTCAGATGCTGCTCCATCAGTGTGGGCGGTCAGCAGTGACCAGGCACCTGCCTGTTCCACCCTCTGGCTTGCAGGAGTGCGTGTTGAACTGCAAAGTTACCAGTGCGGCGGTGCAAAAGAAGGAGGAGGCCAGGATGGCGAATTTGCACAGGAAGCACTTAATGCTGCAGGATTAAGTGCTGGGTTGGTTCATGCTGACAGTGGTAGGAGGTCCTGATCTGAACCCAACATGGCCAGCTTGTCAGGAGGCGCGGAAGCGCAGAGAGGAGAAAGAAGCTCGAAAGTTGCCGCTGGATGCAATGCGCATGCTTGCATCCTAAGGAGCTGCTTTTTGAAATCTAACATAAACTGAAGCTGATCGTGTCCAGGTTCAACCGTTCCCTCTTGTTTTCATGAGGTATCGTGCTGATGTGCGAAAGAGGCGTGAGGAGGCCCGCCGTGAAAAAGAGAAGGGGAAGGATGGACATGAAGTCGACGAAACACAACCCGAGGAGAAGGCCAGCTGTTCACACTTGCGAGACGATTTGATGGACGCCTGGGTCCTGACAGCAGGAGGATGAAGAAGAAGAGGTCGAGGCAGAGTGGATCGTCGCGTACCGTCACGGCGGGTTTCGAAATAGTCCCCGGCGAATAGTCGACTCTTCCCGCGGGCAATGCTGACCTTTTCCTTCACCTTTCCCCGATGTTGACCACAACCGAAGGAGCCGAAGCCCAAGAAAAAGCATGCTGCCAAGAAGGCATCAACTTGAAGATGATGCCATGAAGCGCCTGATGGATGCTCCTTTTTTTTCCGGCTCTCTCCGGGCCTGCACAGGTTGCAGCACGTTTCGAGGCCAAGATTTGGTCGCATGTTGCCATAGCGCAATGTCTGAAGATGTCTGAAGGATTGTCTTTTCGGCACCGCAGGCGGAGGAGCGTGAAAGAGAGGAACTGCGTCGCAAGCAGGAAGAAGAGGCCTGGGCCGTGACCAAGTCTTAGCTGGCATGGCTTCTCAGCAACTCGACACTTAAGAGGCCGAGCAGAAAAAGGCTGAGGAGGAGGAGGCAGTTACGGAACGAGCCAGCACGTCCCGAGAACCTTGTCGTAGCTGCGAGTCGTGAGGCCAAGAAGGCAGCGGCTGCCGCTTATCAAGAGGAACTCAGACAGAAGGCCGGGCAAAACGTGGTGGACATGACATCATGATGACATCATGATGTCCTCTGTAAGTGACGGTGACGTGGGGAGGCGAAGGAGGCAGCTGAAAGGAGAGAGAAGGCAGTCGTCCAAGCGACGATCCTGCGAGCCGCCCTCAATGCCTCCTGACAGGAGCAGCGGGAAAGGGAGATGGAACGCCAAAAGCGAGAAGAGAAAAGGAGGCACTTCGGACCTGTTTGTTTTAGCATGGTCGTGCCGTTCATGCGGAGATAGTGCTCACAGTCACAAGGCTTTGGGAGCTGGACCGCATGAAGCGGGAGGAGGCGGAGACATTGTGGGCGCCAATCCGGTCAGCCCTGTGATTAAGGTGAGTCTGAATCAAGTCGTGACGACAGGAGCGTCAAAGGCGAGAAGAAAAGAGGAGGAAAGCAGAAGAGGAGCGGCTGCGGCGGGAAGAGGAGCGCACCCAGTTCAGTGCTGTAGGCTTCATCGTTTGACATGGCTAGCTTCGAGCTTTCAGGGTCTGAGTTCGAAGGGCAACTGCAGGTATTGGCTTCGAGGGGTCGTGAAACGGCGTCGTGTAACGGATTCCCGTTTCAAATCATTGCACGTGCCGGGACCCAATCAGAGGGTTTCGGGTTTATAGTTTATAGGCCCCGAGATCTGATATGTGATTCGTGGTTCGCGGCCTCCGATCCGGTGTGCGCATCACGGCCTGATCGTTACAAATGGGCTGATAAGTCTACCCCTGAAGTCTTCGTCTGCAGAAGTGCAGTGCACAGGCTGCTGTAGCAGGATTTCTTAAGCTAGCCCAAGAAGCCGTGTGCCGCTCAGGAGGAGAGGCAGAAGCGTGCGGAAGCGCGAGCCGAAGCCGAAAGAAAGCGGGAAGAGGACAGCAGACATTCGCAGACCGTCGCATCGCCGTGGGCGCGGATCGGCCCGGATCTTTTGTTATGGTTTATGCAGGGTTCCCAAGCCTCCCAAAATCTATCAAAATCTAGTATGGTGAGTGCTCACGACGTGTCGACACCAATTCACATGCGCTGTCGCCAGGAGCGCCAGCGAAAAGAAGAAAAGATGCAGCTGAGCTGAACTGTTGTACAACCTGAAAGGGTCTCAATGTGTATTGCCCGCAGTCTAGCTGTGACACAGGCGAAAGTACGAGGAAAGTCGCATGAGACGCGAGGAGGTGCCTTAAAGATGCGTGCGCGCGCTTGCGATACCTTGCTTCTGCAGGTGCGGACACGGAATGAGATCCAGCGTGAGCTTTGGGAGGACACGAGTGGGACAGAGAGAGAGGCTTAATGAGGCTTACCTCAACTCCCCACCACAACCCTGTCGAAAGAGGCTTACCTCCAACCAACAGGCGTGCCCGGCGGGGGTGCGCTCTCAAGCCTGGTGAAAGAAAGAGAGAGTGGCGCGGGGATGAGGGCAGATGGTTACTTAGCGGAAAGGGTCGTGGATTGCAACACAAAAGCCGGAAGCCCACTGTGTAGTCGCTGCCGACACAGCGCGGAGTTTTGGGAGATCAGTTTTGGCCCCATGGCGGCCGAGATGAGCATCACCTACCAGGCCTTCGCCAATGACTTTGGCCACGACTTAGCGAAGAATGTGGCGAAGGGTGTGATTCGCAAGCTCTATGAGAAGACACCGGCCTTCGTGCGGCGCCTCATGTGCGGGGCGTAGTTATCCTGTGGAGAAACCATTTGAGGGCCCAGCGGCGATGCAAGGATGTGGCCTTGGAGCTGGCCCAAGGAGCTTGCGCTCAAATGGACAGCGGCCACTTTGCGTCGGAATGGCCAATGGACCTAAACTACGGTCGGGACTGCGAGGCAACGAAGCTGATCTTTGATCGCAGCCGTGCTCTTGGCGTCTACCTCTCTACGACTTCGTGGTCCACGGCTGCGCCTACTACCAGAGCCCCGAGCCTCATGGAAAACAACGGCGTGTCATCACCTCGATTCGCCGGAGGGGCCGATGCTGTCCTGGCCACAAGGAGCGTCCAGCAATCCCGAGCGGTCGTGTGGCTTTGCCGCCGAAGATGTGTTCGGACACCCTCGAACGTGTTCTTTGGGAACTTCGTGGCCAAGGCCGGCCTCTTCGTGAATTCGACGGGGCGCTCCTGAGTGTGCTGTTTCCTTGGCCAAAGAGTTGTCATGTCCGGGATGTACCGAGGCCAAGCGATAAGCCAGCGGGGCTTTGGTTTTAGGTCTTGATGTTTTCGACTTCGAGCATGTCGTTGAGTCCCAACCTATGAACTCCAAGTTCCTTGTCATGGTCGATCGGGGTTCGCGGTTCGCCTTTTACTAGCGATGTTGAAGCTCAAAACCTCAGGAAAATAGCACCGATGTGAGATTTGCCATCAAGCATGTGAGGCTTTGCATAGTCTGAGATGCTTTGTCCATCTTTGTCCGCAGGGCGGGAACTGCTCGAGCTGCGGCCATGAGGCAAAAGAGATTCTTGGATGGGCGTGTGTTGCCTGCTTCTTTTACCGGGGCTTGCCAGCCCGAACAATGAGGAAACAATGAATGGATGTGGGGCCTGTCGCACAGGTGCTGTCAGCTTGCTCAAAAGTCAAAGCAGTAGGTCTTCCTTCAGGGGTTCCGAAAGGGCATAGGGGCAGAAAGCTCTTCAGTGACGGCACGGACGAATGGCAGATGTGTGCGACATCACAAGGGGCGAAGGTCAGCTTTTGGCCGTCTTTGCTTGCCGGCATGGAAGGGTGGAGTAGTTCGCGATGTTCAGGAGACTGTCTTGGCCAGTAGCTTCGCGCTCTTCTAGGTTCCAGGGAGTGCACATGCTGCACGAGGCAGAAGCGGCGAATTTGCGTTAGCAGAAACGGGCCGGACAGAACTATGGGGCAAGAATGAAGCTCACATTAGCTCTTTGGGTGCTGCGTGCTAGCTGGGGAGAGGACGAATGCATGAAACGAGAAGAAAAGCTTCAGCGCCAGAAGCCCAGCATTGCCTCTGCTTCGACTACTGTATGCTTGACACGTTGAAACTCAGCACAGCTGTTGACCAGGTTGGGCAGAAGAGCAGATGCGTATCGCTGCTGAAAAGAAAAGAAAGTTAGAAGAAGAACGAAGACGAAAACATGAAGAGGCTGCATTCTTAATCAACCCACTGCCAGGTGCAGATGCTTGCAAATCGTTCGTGGCAGACCGGTCATCCTCTTGCCAGATATGCCAGCCGGCTGATCAGGAAATCCGCAAGTGGGAGGAGAAGAGAATGAGACGAGAAGAAGAAATGCAAAGAAGGGCCGAGAAGGTGCGAGCTGTGGGAGTCTGCAACCATGGTTGCAAGAAGCTCTTGCCACAGGCAGCCAAGCAAGCTGCGGAACGCAAGCGTCAGAGAGAGGAAGAGAAGGCACGCCTCCGCGAGGACAGTCTTGGCCAACAGCGATCCCATAACGTTTCAGCTGTCGATCCGAAGCACGCCGCAGGAAGAGAGACAGCGCAGAGAGGAGGAGTTTCGAAAGTATGAAGAGAGCCGAATGAAGAGGTGTGCCGGTACAGAGGTTGACTTTGATAGACTGGTCACATGTCCTGTCCTGCTGTGCCTTGATCATTGACTGTGCATGCAGACAGTGTGAAGCAGTCTCGTCGGATTGGCAGGGAAGAGGAGCTTCAGCGGTGGTTTATGAAGGCACGAGTGTTAGGCAGAAGTAGATGCTCGCTGGGAGCATGGATAGGATGTTATAGGGTATACCATACATCTAAACGTTTGTGAGGTACTGGAGGCAAGAGACGCGGCCGAGCAACGAAAGCAAGTGCGTGAAGAAGAAAGGAAAAGAAAGGAAGAAAAGATGAGAAGGACTCGGCTTCGAAGAATTCGGGGCTTAGGGTCTTCGTGACCACATTCTAGATGCTACAGGTGGGAAGAGGACCGGATGGCGAGGACCGTGTTGCACTTGCCTGCACTTGCTGCCGCTACATGATTTTCCGCCAGCTGGGATCGGAAGCCTCGACAGGGAAGAGACGAGACAACGTCGAGAGGACTGGTTTTGTGCGCAGCTGTTCCAAGTGTATGCTGTGAGTCAGGCGAAGCTGTTACAAGGCTTGTTCTCTTCATTTGCAATGGCAAACCGTGCTGTCGGTGGCAGGAAAAACGGATGCTCGGCTGATCTTGGCTAAGACATTGGCGATGCCAGTAGTTGACCGTGATGCCTGTTTAGCATGTCAAAGATGCTCGGCAGTGCTTGCCTTGGCCAGGCGGGTACGCGACGAAGAGCGTCACCGAAAAGAGGCGCATCTTGATGCCTTTTTGGACTGTCTGCATTGCTGCACTGCACGGAGAGGAGCATCGTAAGAAGAAGCGTCACAAGCCAGATGGCGATGGTGATGCCTGGAAGGCCTTCATGACTAGTCGTTTTCATCTACCTTTCTGACCTTGTTGCCAAGTCTTGCAGCAGAAGGAGGCAGATGTGGCTGGCTGGGCTGCAGCTTCAAGTGCTGAGGACCAGGGGGTACTTTTCCCCCGACATTGGATGTGCAACGGTTGCCGACCTCTGGACTCAACACATGGCGTCAACGGTCTCACTTCGCGGCATGTGGCCCCACCTGCCGCTGGCACTTGTGACCTGATGCATTCCTTCCAGTCGGAAGAGAACATGAGCTGTGTTCGACTGTGCAGGATCCACACCAGGACGGGGACCGTTTGCTCCGGGCTGAGGGCTGACCTCTGAAGTTGCCCCGCAGGTCTTTCCGAGCGCCAGGCCGAAGCAGCGAGTCCGACTCCCAGAGAAGCGCCCCTCAAACCCCCCGTGACGGGGCCTGGGCCCCGAGTCCTTAGGCAAAGCGAGGGCCCAGTCCACCGCTGGAGCCGGACGACGAGACCGACTTGGACAGGCGGGTGCGCACGCGCTTCGCTTGACCGCGGCCTTGCTGTGGCCTTGCTGTGGCCTGCAGTAAAGGCTCCTTGCCGGGACCTTCGTCGAGGCACCCAAGGCCTGACCCTGAAAGAGGCGTAGCTACCTGTTTTAGAGCTCTTTGACAACCTCGGCTCGAGGTGCAGGGTCGATCCAAAGCATTGGCCAAACCTGCGCAACGACTGCTACCGCCCAGTGAGGAGCAGAGCAGAGTGGAGCAGAGCAGAGTGGAGCAGAGCAGGGTGCAGTAGCAGCAGATCGCAGAACTCAGTTCCGGCATTCTTCCGACTTTCGAGCATAAAGAAGGAGCAGGAGACGGAGCTCGATCGGCTTTGTGCCAGCAGTCCCGAGGTGACTGGGGTACTGAGTACTTGCCGCTCTGGATAGCCGGTCTGGAAAGCCGGGAGACAGGCTGGAGCCCCCAGAACAAGACCGAAGCAGCGGGCCAAACCACCTCCAGTGTCCAGGCAGGGCTTTCCTCCGTCCTGCAGAGAAACCAAGCTGAGCTTCCAAGGGATGGCACCGATACCGAACCTCCCTCGGAAGATGACGCGACGGAGCCCCCAAGCGACGAGGACGCGAAGTCGCTCGGACTGCAGCATGGCTCTAATCTATTCATCTTGCCAATCCTCCAATCTTGCAACTCAGGGAGGCGGAAGTTGAGCTGGAGCCCACGTCCATGGTGGACACGGAGGCGCCTCACAGACCTCACAGAGTTCGAGAGCCACTCCCAGCTTATCCGGTTCATTCTGGTTCACACACCATCGATAGTGTGATAATATGTGATACTGATAGGGTGTTTGAAGGCATCTCTCGATAAAGTTAGAATAGTTACTTGTAGAATGAAACAACATGTCATTCATAACACTGTGGCCATGTTGCATGTTTGCAACAGAACCTGCAACAGTTGAACGCGACCACTGTGATCGTCATGTTGCCTCATTCGCGACAGCGGTTCACTGTCCGAATAGCTGGATGTGTGCGTCTTACTTGTCACAGTCGCCCGAGTCAGCCGACTAAGAACAAGCAGCTCTCTCTTGGTTGGCACCATGAACAGACTTTGGTGAAGCGCGCGAGCTCTTGCAAGCAGCCATGCCTAGGGCACTGTGAGCATTCCTACACGAGAGCGATCGAGTGAGCACCCTGACCCTCAAGTTCATACGGGAAACTGACGAAGCGAGGACCTACAAGGGCGGGATGCTGGTGGTTGGTCGAGGGAGTGCTCGGGAAACTGCAGCCATGGGCAGGGAATGCTGCTTGCCAGACCCAGCAAATCTTCGAGCCCACTGCAAATTAAGCTCTGAGGGTCATTCTCTGCGTGCAGGCTAGGCAGGCATTGTGACGGAGCCGTTTTGTGCATGAGCGCCCCGCTTCTCGGCAACCATTTCGACTAGGCGTCCCGGGAGTCCCTGTCGAACCAGGCCCATCGACGCCTTAATGCAGCATCGCCTGAATCAATTTGCTACCTGCTACCATGCATTTATGATCAGACTCTGACCTGAATAACAAAACATCAGCATCTCACACCGTGGGAACATGTTAATGCATCAGCAACCTGCAGCATTGTGCGATCCGACAACCACCGTACTGTAATCCTCCCAACAACGTAAACAAGATCGGGTCTTCTCTCAGAGACTTCAATGACATGACATTAGCAGCTGCAGCTGTACGCACATCCTATCGACATGTTGTGTTCCTCAACCGGCTGATACACAAAATGTCACCAAACTACTCGCATGCCATGCTTATGCAGTACGGCTGAGCACCTGGAATACTCCATTGCCAAAGCACGACTGTCGCAGTTTTCCTGTCGGCGCCCTGTGCAAAGCAAGCCAAGCCATGCTGCACCTGTGGCGAAGGAATGTGTTGTGGGTGAATCAAGCAACAGTTGCTGGCAAACCCCGAACGCTACAACAAGTGATGGATATTCCCAGTAAACAGTGAAACAGCTGAGCATCCTCAGCGAAAGACGCCTAATCAAATTGCAGCATGCACTCTTATGCACTCCGTGCGATGTTTGCAGCCCTTCAAAACTCGTCATCCGAATTCTGTAGCCAAAGTTTACATTACCGTCCAGGCTGAAAGTGAGGATTCCCGGCGGCAGAAAGCGGTGCATTGAACACCAGTGCAGATCGCAGTTTTCTACGGTGTTTCCTTGTGACCGAGGCGCCAGAGCCTTTGCAGGTGCCCAGTGCGAGACCAAAGCAGCGGGCCCGCCCTGCAAAGTCCGCTGAGGACCGGATTTGCCACGATCAGTTCGCCGTCTTGGCGTTTAGAATCAGTGGCCGATGATTTGACGCAGGAGCTCTACGCAGAAAAACAGCTGGAGGCCGCACTTCTTGGCCTCCATGAAGCTCGTGATAATCGTTTGACAGACTTGAGACTTTCATTCCAGGCCATCTATCAGCAGGCGGTGCCCTGATGCAGTTTTGTTCGTGCGCGTGTGTTTAGCTTTGCATCTTTCCGCAGGCCTCACGGCTTGATAATGGAAGGCTCGGGGCTTGTGGATAGCCGCACTCGCTCTGACTGTGGCAAGCATATGGCGGTGTGCACCAAGGCACACTGCTGTTGAACAGGCCGTGGCAAGGGAATCCAGAGTAGAAGGTTGCAGCTCTATAAGAGTCTACTTGAGAAGTCTGGTGGGCATGTGCCCCTGTGTATAATCTGCTTGGAGCTCCGCCGCAAGTCTTTGCCGGTTTTTCGCGCAGCCTATAGTCACTTGGCTACCTGCAGCTGAATAGTCGAAGCGAGAGTATCGTGTAGGATCTCTCGCCCGAGAATGGCTCCGACACAGACGAGAAGGAGCTGAAGCCTTGCATTATCTGGCACACACTAGACCCAGGCAGAATCCGCCGTCGCTGCTTGGGATGATGCCTGCTTCGGTGAAGACCAATGATGCGACCGATATCTTCTACATGGGTCTCAATTAGCGCTAGTCTAAAACTCCCTCGGCACTGCCCACACTGTACGGTTTCTGCGTCCTAACGAATGGAAACGAACCATTGAACTCTTTGTCAGTGCACCAGATGTGCTACCTAGGCCAACCAAGAAGAAACCCACGGCAGGGGTTTGTTGTCGGTGAGCTTTTATCGAGTGCCACTTCTTCACAATTCAGTCCATGCTGAAGTGCACGTCCACCTGTGCTTCCCTTTCGAAAGTAATGACTACTTGTATTACCTACTACTGTGCCTTCAAGCTGGAGTTGGCGCTATGTGTGCGAACGCGCAGAGCGGTGCAGACAGGCAGATAGGAGAATAAGAAGGGACACCATCTGTCGAGATAGCCGGGAGAAAGTTGCAGAAAGACTTTGTCGACCACGGACAATCAATCCGGGACAATCATGGTCTTAAAGCCCAGACGACGACAAGCCAAGCTTGGCATTGTGACGGCAACGGATGCCCATAGCTGCCCCGCCCAGGCGGCACGCAGGGAATACAAACGCCTCTGCCATCTGTCAGCAACAAGGTCTTGAGCGAAGCCAAGTACTCGTAGATGTGATGGGACAGTAGGCTCCTTTCTCCAAAATCGCTCAACATGCGTTCCTAAGAACCCATGCAGTTGTACGTAGATGACGCCAGCCAGGCAAGTCCGGGCAGAAATTGCTCAAGACTGCTGTGTAGCATAGCAAGGAGATGCGTTGAGTTGAGCAGAGTCAGAGACCGAAAGGACTCTGTCAGAAGTGGTGGACGTCCCTCACCCCAGGCCGGGAAGTCGAGCCCGCACGAAAGCCGACAGCGTCCGGGTCCACGTCAGGTCGGCCGCAGCAAGGCCATGGCAAGGCCTTTTGGACGGCACCGGTCGCCTTTGAAGGCGCAGAAGCTGAGAGCGTTTGAGCCGTCGTCGCTCTGTCGCTTTTGAGCTTGACAGGGGAGGTCGCGGGACAGGGACCATGCCCACAGAGACAAGAGGCCTAAGATTGAAGAGGCTTGGCTTGCATGGAATGGACTTGCAGTACAGGATCAGCATTGCTTTTGCAGCAGGCTTCGGCGGACCATGTCCCCTGTGCACGACCAAAGGTGCGTGCCAGAAATAATCAGGACATGGCCGCCAAGCCGGCACGGCAGCGTGTTGTTGCCTGATCATTATGAGCAGTTCGTGCTGAAACTGGGAGACAACGCCGTGCGGTAGTGTTTTTGTGTTGTCTCAGCATTGTTTGCACAATACACATTACAAACTATGTCTGCCCACACTCCCTAAATCAAAGCACCACATTGACATGCTTCCAGCGCCGCGCCGGAGAATGCATTGCATCATTATGACCGCGGTTTTAGTCATTGTTAGTCGCCCGCTTCAGAAGCGGAAGAGGATGATGACGATGATAATGCTGATGCTGAGGATGAATACCGTTACTGTATCATGTTGATGATAACTGATGACAGCTGCGACGGTGGTGACGATGGTGAGGATGAGGACGCACTTGGGCATGCAGAGGAAGATGATCTGATTGTGAGCCGCTTGTGATGATGGCGATGATGATGATGATGGTGATGCAGTTAATGATGAGGATGATGATGATGATGGATGATGATGATGATGATGATGGATGATGATGGAGGATGATGAGGGTGAGGACAAGAATACAATGGTGAAGAAGAGAACGAAGAGGACTAGCACAAGGAGAAGGCGGAGGAGGAGGAGGAGGAGGGAAGCGAAGATGACTAGGAGGCAGGCGACGAACTCAAAGCCGTCCTGTGAAGTGCAGGAATACCCGTTCACACATCTCGATGGGTTCTCCTGATCGCCATCACTGTTCGACAGCAGGCTCACGCCTGATTACCGCTCAGATTGGAATAGAGGTTCCAGAATATTGAGTTTCGGTTCTGAGGAACCTTTCCGAGCACAATTCCCCGGAGCAGGCCGGTTAAGGGTTAAGGCCGAGCTGGTGTGTTTTTTCATGGTGTCCCTGAGCCGAAGGCCGACGACTTCCCCGTGCAGAGTGCAGAGCCAAATGCCCAAGCGGCCCCTTAGACTCAGTCTTCGTAGAAGTCGCCCGCCACATCTCAGGCCGCAGCGAAGCACCCCCGTGGTCGAGGCACTCCGCTGCAGAGCTTGCAGATGCTCCAGCAGCTTCATTGTCAGCACGCTGTCGGGACATCTGTCGGCAGGTCCAAGAGGAGACAGGCAAACCGCGGCTAGAGCGGAAAAGAGATCAGCAGCGCTTTTCAGGTTTGGAGACATAAAGGTTTCCGGAAGCGACTTAGGACCTAGGATGTGTCACAAGTTCTTCGGTGTTGCATGTGATCTCTTTGTTGCTCAGTCGCTCGTGCGAAGCGTTCGCATTAGGTGCGATGAAAGCCCCAACAAGGAGGGTAAAGGGCAAACGCCGGGAGGATGGAAGTGCCGAAAATCCTCCCAAGGCAATGAAAGCAAGCGCAGCACCAGAGACCCAGATGGTTGCCGCTTGTGCCTCCGTGCCGACCTCGAGTCCAAACCCGACCGGTGCGCCGGCCATGGAGAAGCGGCCATTTGCAAAACTCCTGCTGGATGCGATCAATGCTCACAAGGAACTCGTGCAGCTGCCCAGAAGCGAGCCGATCACCGACGCTGTCAGGGTTCCGATCACTTCTGGAAGCCTCCAGGTTGAAGCATGTCCAGGTTCTCTCCTCCCACCCATTCTCGAACTCCCCGGCATCGTGGTGGGATCCGACGCAAGACTCGCCCTGCGCCACCTCTGCTTGCGCGCCAAAGCTGGAGCAGACCAGGGTCATCCATTGATCGAAGTGAGAAGTGGCGGCTTCTTGGAGCTGGCAGACTGTCGCCTTGAAGGCGCTGGGCTCAAGTTGCATCCCGGTGCATCCGCGCGCCTCCTCCGCACGCGCATCTCTGGGTCGAAGCATGCGGGAGTTTCTGCAGTGGACACCTTGGATCTATCAGTGGCCGAATGTGAGATTTCCAACTGCAACGGCGAAGGACTCCATGCAACCTCGGTAAAGAACTTGCGAGTCTCAGACTGCACATTCTCAAATAATATGCAAAACGGAGCGTTGGTTGATGGCAGAGCTGGCGAATCCTCTTTCTCTGGCTGTACCTTGTCGGCCAACGGTCAATTCGGCCTTTGGGTCGACTCAGGCTGCAGCGTGTCATGGAGCAGAAACTTGCTTGTGGGCAACACACTGGGCGAGGTTGGAGGTCGCGGAAGCCTGGATCAGAATGCTGAAGCCTTTGCTACAGGAGATGCCTGCATGGTGTGGATTGAAAGGGTCGGCGAATGGGTGCCCGCGAAAGTCTTGGAAGTGAAAGACGAGGCTTTTCTCGTCCTCGCAGAGGTTCAAACTGGGAAGGGGGTGGATGTCACGGACGCAAGCGAAAGCGCGAGCGTCCTGCGTCGCACTCGCCAGAAGGCGCCCGAGCCTAGCCCAAGGGTGAAAACAGAGGAGATCCAGGTTCCAGCTGATGCCGTCCGTCTTCCAAAATCTTCAGAAGAGGCTCCGCCTGTCTGGTCGAAGAAGCTGGAAGCTTACAGGCGACGAAAAAGTGCTTTTCTGCTCTTCTTGAGGGAAGGCGGCAAAGGAGCGGCAGCATGGAAGGCACTGGATCCTCGAGAGCGAGGGCGCATCCAAGCCAAGGCAAGGAAGGAGCACAGGGATAAGCTCGAGGCTCCTGAAAAAGGCAAAGCACACGGTGTGCATGGCGTTTCTTTTGCTGCTGGAGAAGCGAGCCATGCACGCCCACAGAGAGCAGAGAATCGTGTGCAAAGACCGGCAAGGAAATCTGCAGTTTTCACTCGCACGAAGCACCGAATTTGACTGACCGATGGTGTCTTGAATTCAGGCAGCAACCGTTACTACATCGGAAAAGTGCAGGGTACTTCTGCTGGGTGCGCAGTCCTCACTGGCTTTCTGCACGCGTCTCTGTACTGTGTCTCCAGATAGAAGCATAGCGGCAGCTCGAGGACCCGGTGCTGTAATGTTACTTACGAGATTCCGAGATGTTCAATCGTGCTTCGGATGTCTCAGACTTGTTCAGGGGCACGGGACTTGCCACACGATAGCGTGGCCCTAAGCATGGCATCCGATATGGTTGCAATCGATCTCGTACACTTTAGCCTTTAGTCCATATTATACTATACGCTGTCATGGGTCTGGAAGAGATGATAATGATCGGATATTTGTTTCGACTCCTGCACGTATAAGATCTTTTTTGAACATTCGATTTAGATAGTAATCTTTGTATTTTGTGTTTGTCTAGTTTAGTGTATTGGTTTGTTTATTGGAGCGATTTGTTTAGAGGATATAATCCTTGAGCTCAAGGTCTGTATCTGTAGGGCTATATGAGATTTAGATTACTCTTTAAACGCTACGCGCTTCCGGATGCTGCCGGTACGAAACCACGCAAATCTTGGGATCGTTGGCAAGCCTGCGGCTATCTGCCTCTAAATCAAGGGCGAATCCTGAGTACGAAACCCAGAAATTCCTGGGATTTTGAGGGTTTCGACCAGACATGCTGTGTAGTACGAACCCCTCAAGATGCCGGCAATTTCGGGGTCTCGTGCTATGTACGAAACTCCAGAAATCGCGGAGAAAATATGGTTTCGTGCCGCACCAAATTAGCGGGAAATTCAGTATTTCGTACCACGACACTTTCGATTAGCATTATTCTATATTCTAGCCTTTATTTCATGATGTTATATCGACAAATATTGGATATTGTCAACATTCAATACTAAAATGAATGATTGGTTATTTGATATTGGTATAAATCGCGCATGTCGTGTATAATATATTCTAACATGGTAAGAAAGCTTGAAAATTTATTTATTACGGGTTGGGGGGGTTAGGGCGTTTATAATATGAAAGATAACCTGACGAATCGGATTTATCTATTTTTCATTTTGAATTGATATTATATTATTATTATTATTTAGCTTTCGGATTTTTTAATCTATAAATAAAAAGATATATTATTTATATTTGAAAAAATATTATAATATAATATTTCATATTTTGAAAGAAAAATACAAATAGATATGATATAGATTTTTATTTTTAGTATATATTGTATTATTGGGATAAAGATTTAAGACTTGAATGGTATAATATGCTAATAGTATTTTTCATGAAAATTTTATAATATATATTCTTTATGAATATTAAATTTGAGACTTTCGAATTTTAATCGTTAGCTAAATTCGATATTTTTTTATTTGGCTTTAAGGTAATTTATAAAGAAATATTTTGTGTTTACTCCCGCTATTGGAAGGCCACGAGACCCCTTTTATCGACTATATTTCTCTTTCGTTCGAAATATGCTCATAAATCTTGATATGTCGTGTTAGTTCTATATTATTGGATTAATAATAATTTTCGATTTGGTTATGAGAAATCTAGCTGGATAATTTAGGCAGATAGCGGCTGTATTAAATTTTAAAAGATAGATTATTTTATAGTGGGTGCCGGTGACTGAAAGATTCTTTCGACAAGGATTTGTTTTTTCTCAATTCCGAAGATTTCTTGTATATTCTATTTAGAGATATAGTGGAATGAATCTGCGCAAATAGAATTTTCTACGAGGTTTAATGCCTATCGAATATGGATTATTTTCAATCACAGATATTTAAATGAAACTTCATTTTTTCTATATAATTTTATTATTCTTTATTAACATCGCTTAAGAATATAATTTCTGAATTCGGAAAATAGCATTCTTTTGAATTAAAATATTCAAAAATAAATATATTTCGTAATTGTGGCAAAAGCTCAGATCTTCTATATTGGTATATTTTATTTATCGAATTTTCTTTCTCTCTCTTTATATATGTAGGAATATAAGTAGTTGTGGCAAAAGCTCAAGTCTTCTATATTGGTATATTTTATTTATCGAATTTTCTTTCTCTCTTTTTATATATGTAGGAATATAAGTAGATTTATTATATATATATCTATTCTTTAATAATATATAGACAGATAAATAAATAAGAAATATTGAGATATTAATATATTCGTTTTCTTATTATAAATAGTTGAATATATGAATATATATATATATCTATCTATAGAGAAAGAAATTAGATATATCTCTATATTCTATCTTATAATTTTTGAATATCATTATATCATAAGAGTAATGTCATCATCGTCAAATATATATATATATGATTTTCTTTCATATTAGTCTCATTTTCGTCTTAGATATAAGTTCGAGATATTGGTCTCTTGGGAAATTATTCATATTAAATTTATTTTTTTCTTTTTCTTCCAATGCAAATATTGTGTCCATCATTATCTCTTGATGATAGAATATGAAAGATGAAGATATCATATCTTAATATTAAGAGCTTTCGTATTGCTATATAGATATGTAAATAAAGGCTCTCATATATATTAGAATAATAGAAAGAGAATAATCTGATATCGATGATGCCTGCGTACGATATTATTATTCATATATAATCTGTCATTTTCATTCAAAACTTGCCTTAATAAATTATTTGTAAATTTATCGCTTCGAAGCCTGTAATTTTCGCATAATGAATTCTCTTCTGATTTTCGCTATGGCCGGCAAAGATTTTTTTACTGATTTCTAGAAGACCGTTGAGTTTTTTATAAATAAGAATTTGTTTCTATTTGCCATCTTGAAATTATCTCTCAATCTATTCGTTCCGATTATATTGACGCTCCAAGAAATATCAATAATTGACAGTCCAAATATTAATTTCCTTGTCTTAATTATAATCTATCATTGATATGAACGACTTGATAACGATATTTTCAATCGATATCTTGATCTCAGATATATTTTCGATCCCGGGACCCTTTAGAATTCGTGGAAATATTTCCCATAGCACCAAATTTACAATATTTATATACGAATATCCGGATGATTCCAAGATTATCATTAAAATATTTCACCTGTCTGGACAAATGAAAATCTTCCGTCTTTTCGATAAAAACAAATATCAAGATATTCATCTTCCGTTGGCGAGTCCCCCCCATACCAAGATCGATAAGAAACCTTCTAATATATCATAGAAAGTCTCGGAGGTCATCAATCCAAAATGATCGAAATATATAATCTTTCTCCCCCCCCCCCCCCCGCCCCTTCCCCAATCCTCCAATAATAAATTTAACGATAGGACGGATGAAGAAATCGATGCCGACTTCGGTTTCAATCATTAATAATGCGTCGCATTCCTCTCCAGAGATAAAATAATTTCGAAAGATGACGAAAATCTTCAAGATATCATAATCGTCTATTTTCAATTTGCCCGGGACACTTACACTTGTCGAAATGGCGCTCAAGAACCTCAATCAGCATGGGTCGCTTGCCAAGAAAGAGGTGGACTGATCCATCCCCATGATATCTATCATTATGATTGGATCTTGGAGCTTCTCGAGAAAATCTGGGATTTCGATATTTCTTGCTGGTGCAGATCCGATTAAATAAGAGATATAAGATGGCGTCCGCAATCCCGTGAATTCGTTATATGCCTGAAAGAATTTTCTTAGAGAAGAGTAAGGCAATATCCCCATGGACGATTTTCTGGATATCATATATCTCGATATCTTATCTTCCAAAATATTTAATCTCTATTGGACGTGGGACTCTATGAGATCATAATATAGATAGATTCATTTGGGAGCTGTCAAATAGATGCAGAATCCGCGCGAAGCAGCCACGAGCGCAGGACGATGATATTTACGAGCCTTCGGAATTTCTTAGTAAATTCGATTTCGTCTTATCGGTGCGCGGCTTTCGATAGACAGAATTTTCGGAAATGATGCGACATAAAGAACGGAAAAATCACGCAGATGACGGAAATTCAAGACGGAATCTCCCGGAAATACGAGAATATAAAATGGAATTTTCGGAAAATGACGGAATATAAAAGATGGCAAAAATCCAACAGAATATTCTCCGGAAATGATACAGCTCAAAAGACGAAAAAAAATCACGGAAATGTTGGGGATGAAAAGCGACTTCTTCCGGACTAAACATAAAGTAGGCTTGGAGATTA